CCATCTGACGGTAAGTGACTATCATCGCTCATAAACATCTGCAATATAAGAGGAGTTGCGAATGTATTGCCGGCCTTTAAGGGACCTGAAGGCGTGACTTTTAAAGAGCCCCATATTATAACGCTAAGAGAAAACCTCAGGAGGGAGATTTTTCCACAATTTGCACGTGCGAGGTAGATGTAAACGATATAAAAAATAATAATATATATTTAATGTATTTCTTTGTTTGTATGTACGCAAGGGATAGTCTCTGAAACTAATGAAGCAGTACAAAAAGCCTTCCATTAAATCCTCCACAACCGCGGACATGCCGGCGTTACAGTTAACAATAGATTTCTTAGAAATTTACCTAGAGATGTTATTTAAAAGTTACAATATCCCTAAGTATGTAAGTGGCAATTATTATGGTTGAACTACAGCAAGCCAAAACTAGTTTGTGTAGAGAATTAGATTTAATTGTTTATTTTTTGTTTGAAGAATAGATTTTTGAATATTCCTGCAAATACTTATATTACTAAAATTGCTATTTCACATTTTTACTACCTACACAATATATTTAAATTGGCAATATTACAATAGAATTGTTCACTCTAAAGTCACAGATGCAAAGATTGTGGAAGAAACGTATTTTGTCATCACTCGTCCGTTTGACATTTGGGACGAACGTGACAGGAATGCTTTCCAATATTTCATGCATACTTTTTGTGTAGCTACAATTTCTATGTCTGAATATTGACTAAACAACTCACGAAAATGCTTAACGGTGACTCCCAATAAAGTACTTTTCCTTACTTTAGATAGTTTTATTTTTTTTACATTTATTTACTAAGAAGATCATCTTAGCATATTATAACATAAACAGTTTAAATGTTAATAACTGCATTAGTGATACAACTGAGTCGTAGTTATTAACACCCACCTCTCTAGCAACAGGCTACAATTGTATATGCTAAATTATCGTATCAATTCTAATAAAACAAAAAATAATAGATTTTTTCAAATATAAAAAATACATCAAACAAAATATACGGAAAAAAAATATGATTTATACAATAAATAAATAAATAAATAATAATATTATTTAGAAGTGGTTGAAAATTGCACTATTTGTGAATGAAAATTTACAGAAGCTCTGTACAAACTATGTCAAAATCCTATTGCCAGAAAGGAAAACTACAAATAGGTTATCGGAATTCACTGTAAGTGAAGTGAATGAGCACTATTCACAGATATTGATATTCTTGCATTGTAAATAAATCCTTTATAAACTAACCGTGAATAGGATGAAGTCACCAATAAATGATCATTCCTTAGATATATTTTGTGGATAGTAATGATATTGTCGTTTCTATTACTCGATCGGCTGTTATAATTTCTTTTTGCTATTGTTTATGTTACGCTTTTGTGATATTTAGATTCTTGTTAGTTTTTAATAAAAACTGTAACATAGATTGTTATTATACAAAAAAACCCGATAACCCATTACTTATCTATGATATTCATTTTGCTAATGGCATAAATAAGCATGTAGTCATAGTATGACTTAAAAATAAAGTAAATATTATTTACAAAACTAAAGATTACATTAATTATTATAGGAAATTTCCTTTATTTAAATTCTTTGTGTTATTATTTATATGGTAAAATGAGTCAGAAATATCGTCAAAAAACTGTTTCTGGACTACTTTCCAGAACCCAAAGTTGAGCACTAAATGACTGTACTAACTGACATCGTTTGAAAGGAATCAGCTTTTAGTACAGCATTCATGTCAATCTGCAGTCGGGCCATATCCACTTATCTACGGGCCTCACTGTCGAGATCAATATTTTCAAAGTGCAAACTAATCAAATTAATAAAAACTTTTTAACAAAAAAATTAAAACCGACTTCAAACAAAAGCACTAAAAAGTAAAAAATAGGTAACTGATTGGTAGTTTTCATTTACTATACATACCTGATCAAATATTTTCGAAGTCGGTGTGCTTTGTTTTGTATGGGCTGGCACTGATTTCGAAAATATTTGATTAGGTATGTATTTAATAGGTAGGCTTTAATTACTTAGCCAAAGCACACCGACTTCGAAAATATTTGATTAGGTATGTATAGTAAATGAAAACTACCAATCAGTTATTTTATACTTTTTAGTGCTTTTGTTTGAAGTCGGTTTTTATTTTTTTGTTAAAAAGTTTTTATTTTTCCCTTTTTAGTGTAGACAGTAGTAGCAAAGTAAGGATTCTAACGTGTTAGGCTTGTCAAATCAAACAAAATAAGCCCAAACTCAAAGTATCTACTATTAGCCGTTGAAGGTTCCACCTATCCACCTTCTGGCCTTGCCATCAGATCAGTTCAACAACACCGAACCACTGTACTATCAACGGAAATAGAAATACTTGCAAAGTTTCAAGTCAATATGACAATTAGAAGTAGGTTAAATTCATCATTAGTTGTTTTTCCACCCTTAGGGGTGGTATTTATTTTTTAAATTTAAATGGGACCAATCTGGAAGTATACCCTTTCAAACAAAACAAAAATTATCCAAATCGGTTAATAAATGACGGAGTTCTGAGGTAACAAACATAAAAAAAAACATACAGTCGAATTGAGAACCTCCTCCTTTTTGAAGTCGGTTGAAAACGGAACGTATTTGTACCCTGATCTATATATTTCTTTGATATTACGTACATATTATCTACATTGCATTGGTACTACGATGAACCTCGTATTCGGAACTTGCACGCAAATAAGATTTTTTCGTGGTCACAGAAACAGCAATATCAAAAAAAAAGGAATGACTGGAAAACAATAGAAATACATTTTTTTTTAAATGTCATAGCTATGTTATAAAATTGACTTTGTTTCAAAACTTCAATTAAAATACACACTTCAATTCAAATCGAACAATACTAGCCAGTCCCAAAAAAATAGCAATATACATTTATAAGGACGAAAGAAATAAAAAAAATATGGATGAACTCGCTGAATTTCTTCCACCAAGCTCTTTTTATGACAAAAGAAAAATATTTCCGAAATATTTTTAAAATTTTCTTTATAATATACTAGCGACTCACTCTCGCTTCGCTCGGGTTCGTAAATAGTTTGCTTCCCAATATAAACTGTCATTTTCACCCCCTTAAGGAATAATTTCCGGGATAAAAGTATTTTATGTCCTTCCCAGGGTCTCAAACTATCTTCTTACCAAATTTCCATCTAAATCGATTCAGTCGATCCAGAGATTACCTCCTACAACTTCACAAACTCACAATTCACAAACTCACAAACTTTACCTCTTTTCAACCGACTTCAAAAAGGAGGAGGTTCTCAATTCGACTGTATGTTTTTTTTATTTTTTTTTATGTTTGTTACCTCAGAACTCCGTCATTTATTAACCGATTTGGATAATTTTTGTTTTGTTTGAAAGGGTATACTTCCGGATTGGTCCCATTTAAATTTCAAAAAAAAAATACCACTCCTAAGGGTGGAAAAACAACTAATGATGAATTTAACCTACTTCTAATTGTCATATTGACTTGAAACTTTGCAAGTATTTCTATTTCCGTTGATAGCACAGTGGTTCGGTGTTGTTGAACTGATCTGATGGCAAGGCCAGAAGGTGGATAGGTGGAACTCTTCAACGGCTAATAGTAGAAACTTTGAGTTTGGGCTTGTTTTGTTTGATTTGACAAGCCTAATACGTTAGAATTCTTACTTTGCTACTACTGTCTACACTAAAAAGGGAAAAATAAAAACTTTTTGACAAAAAAATAAAAACCGACTTCAAACAAAAGCACTAAAAAGTAAAAAATAACTGATTGGTAGTTTTCATTTACTATACATACCTAATCAAATATTTTCGAAGTCAGTGTGCTTTGGCTAAGTAATTAAAGCCTACCTATTAAACACATACGTAATCAAATATTTTCGAAATCGGTGCCAGCCCATACAAAGCAAAGCACACCGACTTCGAAAATATTTAATTAGGTATGTATAGTAAATGAAAACTACCAATCAGTTATTTTTTACTTTTTAGTGCTTTTGTTTAAAGTCGGTTTTTATTTTTTTGTTAAAAAGTTTTTTTATAATATTAGTATAGATATGTTCTATTGCGATAGGCAAAAACCAGTATATGAATCTTCTACACTAAAAGCTACATATGGTTTCGTGAGTGCATGGGAAATAAACTAGAACTATCAATCTTTGTTATATCCATATGAAATTCATTTTCTCGAAGTTACAAAACTGCAGTCGCAATGCGGATTTTGCACTTTTGACTTAAAGGAGTTTCTAGTAACTTTAACGTTAAATTTTAGATGACAATATTCTTATCACTTTTTATAATAACTGTACTTAAATTATATAACTATTTTTTTAATTTTCTATGTTAGTTAACTTATGGTTGTCAAACTAGTTTGTTTAAATCACAATTTCGCTTAATCTAGGTTGATGTTTTTATATATATTTATATATGATTTATATACATACAAAATATATCAGCACAATAATATATATTTATATATGATTGTGCTGATATATTTTGTGTGTGTCTCCATTCTTACTAATGTAAATTACTAGTATTAGACTTTATTTTATTACATTTCTAATTTGTTTTTATTTTCTGATAGCCAAATAGCAGTTTGGTTATTAATTTAAATAGAAATACACAAACTGTAACAAATGAAATTAAAGAAATGAATAATATTAATAAAACAACTAATATAGCATCGACTACAAGGTATTCATAATATGAGATGTTTGCTGTAGGTGCTTTTAATTGCTTCGCTCCCTTGTTTCTCACGACATATTCAATCCACCACATAGTTCTCTGTAAAGGTGGTTCAGGCTGATCACTCATCATTTCTCTGAGCTTGACAATATTCTGACGATAGCTAAAAAAGTATTTAATAACAATTAAATTTTAACTATCGGTTTTAAAATGTTTAATTTTTTCACTTATCAGAAATATTTTAATTAACCTTACCTCTTATCATTAATTACTGTTTCTACAGCATGTTTGAAATAAGCGTCTCGATGTCTAATTTGATACCAATACCATATTTAACATATTTCTCAGCATTATACCACTGATCCCCTAACATTGGTATAGCAACTAGTGGCACTCCAGCTGTAATAGCTTCATCTGTAGATTGTAATCCAGCTTGAGTAATGAAAAGTTTTATATTTGGATGCCCTATAATAATTAATTATTAGTAAATGAATACTTTCTTAAATTTACGTAAATATTTGACATTTTAATTTTTTTTTTTGTCAATGTGGATATGTTCTTTATGAAATTACGTCCTATATGGATTACAACGAAACCTCGAGAACCAAAATAAATCCGTGAAAAAAAATCCGAAAACATAATTTTATTTACAATATCAGTTAATTAGTTAGCCCACATTTTGTAGTTATATTAAATAAGATTATTATATTAAGATAAAATAACACTAACTTAATAGATCAGATTGTGGAAACCATTTGGAGATTTTAATTCTATCTGGTTTACCAGGTATTTCCTCATTGTCCCATTTCCATAAAACGTTATATGGGAGGTTTGAAAGAACTTTTGAGATAATTTCAACTTTTCTTGGCGGTATCATGCCAGCAAGCACATTGGTGCCAAAGCTCACATAAATAGCACCTTGTTTAGACGAATCCAAATACTCTTTCAGATCCTAATAATTTAAAGTATTTTAAAGTGAATTTAAGGAACTACAATTTTGGGAAAAAATAGATAATTTGCATAATAAATACCTGAGGCAACTCTTTCTCAGGTAACTGATGTATACCGCCCATATAGACAACACTCGGTGGTACTGGTTGACTATCGACCCATATAGGATGTATGTTCATAAAGAACATATCTACATTATTATATAATTCATGCATAGTCGGTACATCGGGTCCTAATAATTCCTTTAGCATTGCACTTTCATCAGCTTTATTCAAATATAATGCATATTGAGTCATGAAGTAAGAATAAAGTTCATATATTTTTTCCCACACTGTTAGATTATAAACTTTCTTATTTAAAAGCGATGGGTAAAAAAGTGGATGCGTAGGTGATCCCATTATGTCGTGATTATTAAAAATTGCACCAAAAGAACTTACTAAAATTACAGGTGCTTTAAAAATATGCGAAAACACAAGAGCTGGGAGTATAACAGCTTCAATCAGTATTAAATCAAAATTGTTCTTATCCGATATTAGTTTTTGAACCTCAGGTGTATGAAATTGAGTTATAAAAATGTGTGAAAGTATTAATGATCCTGCTCTTATTTCTTCAAACTTGGATATTTGCAATTTGTTACTTCCAAAGTTATACTGCATTATCTTCTTCCAAGCTTCATAAGATATATCGTTAACATCAATTTCCTTAAGATTCGAAGGCGATTTTCCTTTAATATAAGCTGGGTCTGGTGTAATCACAGTAACTTCGTGCCCTCTTTCAACAAGCTCTTGTGTTATCTTACGAAATACGACTTGATGACTAATAGATGGCACAGGAAACACTGCTAATATTTTGGCTGACTTAACTTCCATCACTAAATATATTAAGAATAGTATTGTATTTTTTAAAAACATTTTGATCACGAATTGTGTATCAATGCGATAACAGTACTGAATAATAAAGTGTAGACATCCTTTTATAAGTTATAATCTTAAATAGATTATAATTCTACTAGAAAACAATCATAAGCTGTTGGATTTTATAACTACCATTTAAGATCATTAAGTTATATTTACAAATAAATAACAACAAAATGTCTGTCTGTGATTTAAAAATCACTATGTTTTCTCAAGTATGTATCACACCGACCCCCACCGACACTGACTTCGAAAATATCTCATTAGGTATCTATTCTAAATGAAAACCCCAGTTTAGTTATTTTTTACATTCTAGTGCCTGGAAGTCGGTTTTTATATATATATATATATATTTTAAGTTATTATTAGCAGGTGATTTGTAAGAATAAAGTTTTTAATAACATATTCGATTAGACAATTTATTTAAAAAAATAATTTATTGTTGATTTTTTTTAAAACCGATTTGATAAGAAAAAAATATATTTTTCAAATCGGTTCAGGCGTCTTCGAGAATCGGTGAACATATATAAAAAAAAAGATTGGGACGAATTGAGAACCTCCTCCATTTTGGAAGTTGGTTAATAAAAGATCATGACTGAGGATGAATACAAATTATTTTAAAAGTCATAGCTCGTATATATACGAGTATAATTATTATACACGCTCAAGAGCTTATTGCCCTTAAGCGATTATTTTAATTACAGAAATAAAATACTGTATTGGAAAGCGTTATTAATATTCACTCTATTTACTCCGCTAGAATTGTGTAAAGCTAAATTATTTTTTAATTAATAAAATTAAAAATACTTATGTATTTTACGAGGATATGTAAATTAACTTTATTGCATTCGTTTCTCATAACATTTTACTACGTTTAACGTAAATTTGTTATATTAAGATAGGTTATCAAATTGATAAACTTTATATGGGTTATTATTTATATGTACTTCAAACCTAGGTTTTGTTAACGGTTTCTCATGTTTTATATCTTCTAATAAATTACATGAATAAAAAAATAAACTAGTAATAATAATAATAATAGAAATTATAATTATATATTATAGCATAAATAACACTTATAATACGAGTAGTATCATTACCTACTGATAATAATGTAAAAATCACAACTAAATTCCAAAATAAAAACCATTTCCGTTAAATAAATCTCCATTTATTTATATGAGATTGAGGTTTATCTATGTTATTAATTGAAACTTGAAAGTATTACTTGTAAGAATACTTATTAAACACGAAATAGTCGATTCCCTATGATGGCGTAAGAACATCTTCGATAATCGAGACGACTTTGTATTATTCAACTGAGATTGGTTCCTTTTATTGCTAAAATAAATATTTTCCCTTATTCTTGACTAATAACTAACAAATTAATTTTAACAAAGTGGTATTCCTTATTTTATCATCGAATTAGATTTTGGGAATTAAACGTACCTACAGAAATGGTAAAAGCTATCATCTGCAGTTTTTATTATTTTTTTGTGTCGTGTAGTTTTTATTATATATACATAATATTAAAAAATACTATTTTTTCGTCACAGTCATTAAAATTAATTCAAAGTCCAAAGTCAAAAAATGTAGAAATCAAAATCAACCAACCATTGTCAGTAAATAATATATATTGTTATCTTTGAAATAATCTAAATAGTCTATCTAGTGTAGTTTTATCTAGACTAGCATTATCACAATGCATCAAGATTTGATTCCGACCTTCAATGTTGCCACGCCATTGTTTCATGCTCGAGATGTATAATATGATAAACCCTTAACTACATTTGTGGGGTTTTTGATCCCAGCCGACACGTTTCTGCAAATAAATCCTATCGCAGTGCACCATTAAGTGTCCGCTTCCATGTAATATTAATTTAGGCTGTACATTTACAATAAGTGTTTCATACTCAGAAGATCCAGAAATATCAGGCGATCTTTTTGAAGATAACAGCGAGTTTAGTGATAATATTTCAGAGATATATACATAATACTTTTATTGAAATATAAGACGATGATTAGGAAGAAGAAACAGAAGGTAAGTAAGAATGTAAATGTAAGACAGACAATTTGCCTATACTTAAACCCATTGGTGTCACGACACCATCTAATATGTAGTAAGGAAATGTTTATATCCAACAACAACCAAAAGTTGTTTATTACTATTAATTTTTTTACATTTAAAAAATATGAATGCAAAAATCATTCCACAGGCAAGAAAATTAATCTGACCAGTGATGACTAAACATAATTAAAGAAACACTATTTTAATAAATGCCTTAATTATTAAAAATAAATATTATGTTTAACTTTGACTTGAAAATTATTTTCCATAAAAATATCCCTTTTTATTAATATATACAATATACATACATGTCGGAAAATCACCGGTCTGTTCGATATCATCATTAGTATTTATATATCTCGTAGGCGATATCAGGGTTTAATGCGAGCATAAATTAAAGTATTCAATGCTTTTATAATTTATTAAAAAATAATTTATTAAAAAATCAAAATATCATAAATTTGAAACGATGATGATTGGGGGATTATAGTTGTTTAACTGAGCAGCGGGTTCGCGATCTGACTTCAACATACACTATCGGATCACAAATCTCGATGATCCACCACGATCCACTAACATGACCAAGAGACATCTCCACCTCACTCGAGTGGTCGCCTCTGTTTTTAATTTGATGTAACGTAATAAAGTGACTTTATACAGAAAATAGGATTTCATATTCTAGCAAAAAATGTAACAAATGATATTAAATTATAACCCCCACCCACCTACGTATATTTTAATGAAGAGGCTGTTTGAAAATATTAGAATAAAAGAAAATTTAGTTTAATAGGTAATGAACAATATATAATTTATATATAATTAATTTTACGCTGGATCGCAAGAGATTAGATCAAATCTACAAATGTTTTAGAGGATTAAAACCATGCTACAAGATTGCATTCATATAGAGTAAATCTTTTAATCTCTGTATATGGTATAATTTTATTGTTAACTTATCTTATCTTATACTAGCGACTCATCCTCGCTTCTCTCGGGTTCGTCTCTAGCTTAATTCCCCATGCAATCTTTCATCCCCATTCACCCCCTACAAGGGATGATTTCCGGGATAAAAAGTCCCCTATGTCCCTCCCAGGGTCTCAAACTATCTTCTTACCAAATTTTATCTAAATCGGTTCAGTACATCCAGAGATTACCCCCTACAACGTCACAAACTCACAATCTCACAAACTTTATCTCTTTATAATATTAGTATAGATATAAAATTTCCATGTCACAATGTTTGTTACCGTACTCCTCCGAAACGGCTTTACCGATTTTTACCAAATTTTATATGCGTATTCAGTAGGTCTGAGAATCGGCTACTATCTATTTTTCATACCCCTAAGTGATAAGGATAAGGGTAGTCCTCCCAGACCCCACCCCAGGGACGAACCCGAGCGGAGCGAGGGTGAGTCGCTAGTAATATATAAATTGATTATCTTATAATATTAAATGTGTAATTGTTGTATATATATATTTGTTCGTATATTTCGGAAACGGCTCTAACGATTTGGATTAAATTTCATATTCAGATAAGTTTGCTTTATGAGTTTATCTAGATATATTGGTGCCTTTTATAAAAAAAACGCAATTTTTATATATTTTCCGGCCAGGCCAGGCATTTTCATGAAGTTTCGTTTTTTTAATGTGCCAATCATTTTCAATGAGATTTCTACTTGTCTTACAGTAAATGAATACATCGTGAGTATGTGTCTATGTCTGAAAGAACATAGCAAGTTTTCGAAAGACATGCAAAGTCCTTCTGGGTCCGTGGACTATTATCGCATAGAAGAGCTTGTGCCCAGCAGTGAGACGTTAAATAATGCTGAATACAATATAAAATTGAAATTGTTCATAGAATATGATATATAACCTTCGTTTGCCTGCAGCTCTGACCCACCAATCCATCTGGGATTATCTTAAGGGTAGCGAGATGTTAGCTAAAATCCAATACCTTCCTTAAGGCTTTATTATAAGTATAGATAATAATGATAGTTGAAATGTCATAATATACGAGTATATTTTAGAAATTACTACTTTTAATTTATTGTGTGTCAGTCTCTTTCGACGTGAATCATTACCAGCTTGAGAAAATATTATCTTTTTCTTAAATAATTCCATATTAATAATGAAGCGGTATTTGGTGAACCAAATAAAACTGTAATATATACTGGTAAAACCAAAGTACTGCTTTACTAATAACAATTTCCATGCAATCTAAGTTATCATTAATAAGGTTGATTCTATACTAACAGTTTAATATCACTATTTGCTCCAATTGATTCCCCACGGGACAGTTCATCTAAACATCAGCTTTAATTGAAATGTCATGTACATAGATATAAACTATTTGGTTTACTTACTCTCGTACAAATGACTTTAGAATAAAATACATAAAAAAAACATGCTATGTATATTAAATGTATATATATATATATATATATATATATATATATATATATATATATATATATGTATAACATTTTTTTACAACTTAAACGTGTTTAGTATGGTTCACATCCATATAAAAATTTTTGAAAAAAGGAAAAAAAATGTTAATACTTGACTTACTCTAGAACGAACAAATACATAAATCTTCTCTATTAACTAAATTAATTCCTATATTCTGAGCAAGGTTACTTTAGTATAAAACGTTTATTTACAATGACAACATCAAACAAAAAAGTTGAGAGTTTGTTGACTGCCCCCAAACATGATTTTACGTGCTGTGACAAAAGAAGAACTTCCAATATTTTTCCAAGGAGATCTATTTATCTATTCTATGAAACTATTGATTTTTAGGACCACAGCAAGAAATTTTTTTTAAATTGTGCAGGTTTGTAGCAGAAATGAACGGACATCGTACAGATCTATATAGTTTAAATTAAATTTGTTTCTGAGACTAAGATCGGTCAATTTTTAAATTTGAACGAGAATCGCGAACAAGAAATCATTTTATTTAGCTCTTTACAATACGTAAGTTCCTGTAATTTTTGACTTGTCCATAGAAGTAATGATGAAATTTGACTTTATTCAATAAACTCACGCCAACAATATCACTGATATAATGTAAAAAGCAATGAAAATCCTTAAAAAAGAAAAAGAAGAAGAGAAGTTTATTTTAAAAACTGAGTTCAAAAAAGGTTAGTGATCATATTTGCTCGGACAAGTATTTACTATCAGAACCTCGTTTCGATCTCCACTTCTTTAGCGTGCGTATGTAAAAGTACAGCGTTTGTAAAGAGGAAATCCATACTAATATTATAAATGTGAAAGTTTATGGGGATGGATGGATGTTTGTTACTCTTTCAAGCCATAACGCCTAAAATGATCTGGATGAAATTTGGCACAGAGATAGATTATAGTCTGAAATAGGTTACTTTTGTCCCGGAAAAATGCATGGTTCCCGTGGAATAGATTTATTTTGTCTAGGGACGGATGAATCGAAGCGAGTGTGAGTAGCTAATCTATTTAATAAGACAATTAGATATGGATATTAATATCTTCGGTAATGAAAAGTAGACTTCTTATCCATATAGTCTTATTATATAGTCTATCACTGATAAGGTCACCTTTTTGATTAGTTCACTCCTGTATTTATATAAAGCAAAACAAAACTCATTTTATAAAATGTTAAAATCAAATACACATTGATAAACGTTAATTAATCTTTCTCGTTGTGTTATAATTGTGAATTATAAAAAAAAGTATTTATTGTTAAAATCGGCTTATAAGTATATTCCTCAAATATTTCTGGTAAATATTATTAACCCGAACGAAGCGAGCCCGAACCCGAGCGAAGCGAGGGTGAGCCGCTAGTGCTGTAATATGTGTGTGTGTAGTAGCGTAGTGCACCTTCTCATCCGTTTATATATCCAGATTCAGTATATCGAAAAATATATGATCTGAAAAACTCAGAAAACTACAGAAATTCGCAATGTTAAAATCTTTATTTGAACTCAACATTCCATCTATGTATATATGAATCAAATAATGTTGATAATATATGCATCCAATCTCGGTAGAGAGAACAAGTCAGTTCCGCCAAATCCATACTAATATTATAAATGTGAAAGTGTGTTTGATTTTCTGTCCTTCTTTCACGTCGAGACAGAATGACTGATTGGCCTAATTTTTTTGTGCGGAGATAGTTAGAGGGCGGGAGAGTGACATTTTTTTTTTCACTGGAGATTATATCATCCCCACGGGAAAACACGTTATAATACAACCCACAATAATATAAAACAAGTATATAGATATATAAAATATAGTCTATCTATTCCATACTAACCGTAAAGCGTACCTAGGAATGAACCCCAGGGAAGCGAGGGTGAGTCACTAGTACCATATACGTTTGGTGGATTACAACCCAACCAGTGTTGGATAAACCTAGGTGTGTTTGGTCAAATCCCGAATAAAATATTATGTCAATTATTATTCGGACTTTATCCAAAAGCCTTTGGTGATTCTAAGTAATCCCGGGTAAACCTAGGTTTACTTAATCTTCTAGCATTACCCGTAACTTAGACACACATAAATAGTGAGTTTAGTACAATATCTTTAACCAAACAAGGTCACCCGCAACAAAAAAACAACACTTTTAACAAGGCCACGTATAGACGTGGTGAAAGAGATAAAAAAAGTTATAACATAAATATCTAACTACACATACATATATAGATATGTATGTGTAGTTAGATATTTATGTTATAACTTTTTTTATCTCTTTTAAATAACTCGAAAATAAAATTCAATAGAATAAAGACATACGAGTCTCATAGTGCCTTACACTGTGTTAGAAGTAGTTAGCTCGCGTGGTGAGATAAAATGATGTCACTGTCAGCAATTATAGTTTTATTTGCAGTACAATTTGTACACATTAAATCAGCAAGGATATTAGCAGTTTATCCAACACCATCAATCAGTCATCAAGTGGTATTTCGAAGTTTAACTGATGAATTGATTAAGCATGGTCATCAGATTACCGTTATCACTACTGATCCAAAATACCCAAAAGGACAATCTCCTAAGAATTTAACGGAAATCGATATGCATGATCTATCATATAGAATATGGAAAGATGTATTGTTACATGTTAAATCAGCAGACCAAGAAAGTACAGCACTGGAAATGCTATTACGAGGGGCATCAAATGTTTTTAAAGCACAGCTTAGAACTCAGGAATTTCAAGAAATTATACAGAAAAAGAAAGGGGAATATGATTTGTTATTGCTTGAAGCATATCTTAAGCCAGGTTTAGTGTTATCAGAAATTTTCAAGGTACCTGTGATCCTCGTGAGTTCTTTAGGTGCTGTAAATGAAAACTTTCGCGCTGTAGGTGTGCCTACTCATCCGTTTATATATCCAAGTCCAGTTCAACGTAAAATATACAATCTGACAAACTTAGAAAAGTTACAACAATGGTACGAGCATTGGAAAATGGAAAATATTTTCAGTGCAATCGATGTAGAGGATGACAAAATGTTAAAATCTATGTTTGGTCAAGGAATTCCATATATAGATGAATTAATGAATAATATTGACATGCTGATAATTAATATGCATCCAATTTGGTTAGAAAACCAGCCAGTTCCACCTAGTACAATATACGTTGGTGGATTACACCTAAAGCCTCCACAGGATTTACCTAAGGTATGTAACAGTAGCGGAACTCACGGCTCACGGAACTTTGCTCGCACTAAAAGTACATAATAAACTCTTTGGCTTTGGATTTTCAAATTTGTTTAATTGTAAATGTGTATGATTCTGACTCGTGCATCGAGAGTTCCGTACTGGCGGTCCGAATATTGTGTTGTTTTTACTGACATATTTACACATGAATAAAATTTGTATGTTTTCGCAATACATACGTTATTAATAATGGAAAAATAAGTTCGGGTTTCTTCAAAAATATTATTATATTATTCTTCAAAAGATATGGAAAATTTTAGTGATCGTGACTTAAAATATCCAGTATCTGAAAAGATATTTTCATATATTGTGTAAATTAGTTTTCCTTTAAAGTATTTTACAAGCTCAACTATCTCTATTTTTTTCATATTTTCTACTTCATCCTTTCAAAGTTACAGGAAGAGAGTACAATGAAACAACTCGCATACAATGTTAACAACTTAAGAATCATGTAACTCGATTAATATGGGCTTTTAACTAACATATAAACAGGCTAACTTCTACATTATTTTTAAAGACCCTGAAACTTACAGTTTCCTTCCTTTCCCTCCTTTTTTAAGTTACTTTAAAGAGCCACTCTTATTTTGTTAAGCTTTGTGCCCGCGGCTACGCTCGGGTGGACTAAAGTATTTGCACAGTTTTAATTTCCATTGAATTTATATGATGTCATATGTATCAAAATTGTAATATTATGTGTACATTTATGTTATCAATACACTTAGAAGTAAAAAAAGTAACTTAAGGAAGTTTTCATTTACTAAAGATATCTAATCATATTTTTTTGGAAGTCGGTGCCAGCCGATGCAAATCAAAGCAAAGTTTACATAATTTGATGTATAATGTATTAAACTTATATGTAATTAAAGTTCATAATATCTATTTTAATATTCATATCTAAAAACATTATCGGCTGGCACCGACCTCGAAAATATCTGATTTAGGTATCAATCATGGTAAATAAAACTCCCATTAAGATATTTTTAATTTTTAACCAACTGCAGCGAAGCTCAAAGGAGGATTATATGTTTGACTTGTATGTATGTATGTATGTATGTATGTGTGTGTGTAAATTAAAAAATTAGATCCTATGTTCCCTCGTAATTACTAAATGATTTTGATAATTTATACGTCATTCGATTCGTCTTAATAATAACGCGGGTGTCATGTCATAGGTTATATAGATATCATCAAAATGACCGATTTTTTTGCCCAAATCAATCGAGTGGGGTAACAAAATACAGGAATGTATTTTGTTACCCCAATATAAGAGGCGATTACAAAAATATATAACAACTTATATAAAACACTTTTGTACCTAGCAGAAAAAAAAACAAGAAATTGTGTTTTTTTATTTTAGAATGTTGTATGTTCTTATGAAAAAAAAATCACTCAAAGGGCTTAGGCAGCGTTTTCGTTGAAAGCTCCCAGACGGCTTATTTTCTTCCGACACCTCTAACAAATATGGTTATATTTTAGCCAATATAAACAAAAACTTAACAAATTATATACTAAAACCTTTCTCGAGAACCACTCTATTTATAGGTGTAAGCAACATGAAAATCGGTGCATTAGTTTTTGAGTTTATCGCGAATAGACAGACGCGGCGGACTTTGTTTAAATATGTAGTGATAAGGAAAAAGATGCAGTCGGAGAAATACATGTCCTTGCCACAAGACGTACATGTACATAATACTATATACATTCGTCAACCTGTTTTCATCATTTTAGTAATTTATATCAGTATATTTTCGGTTTCAGCATTAAGTGGTACCATTAGATATCGCATTAGATCGTAATTTTATTAGAGAAGACCTTTGAAAATGGGAAAAAAATTAAATTGAGAATCCACTTCTAAAGATTAATTAGGAAATGTATAGTGTTTAAACTATTACTAAGCTTACAGCAATCCTATTATAATATAATCTACACCTAAAGTATGACAACATATATTAATATCAAGTTTCTAAGAATTTTGATCATAAATATTTTTTGACGATTTAAACTTTAGCACCTCCTTTTACCCGTTTAAGATGAAGAAGAATTTCGAAAAAATCTGATATACTCATTTGTGCATTTCACATTAAGAATGGCAGAGTTTCATACAATTTTTCGTCTCCTAATTTAGCCCCCTAGGGGATGAATTTCAAAAAACCTTTTCTTATCGGATGCCTACATCATATATGGTATACGTTCTCGGTTTACGTTATACGTTTCATGATTCTACAACCAATGGTCTCGGCTGTGCATTGATCAGTCAGTCAGGCCAAAGCCTTTTATATATACACTAGCGGCTCACTCTCGCTTCTTCTTCTCGCTCGGGTTCGCCTCTACAAAAGTACAAATAAATCTATCTCATGGGAACCGTTCATTTTTCCGAGATAAAAAGTAACCTGTTGTTTGACCGGCAATGTAAGGTATCAATCAGCATGCCTACTTAATTAGGTGCATAAGTTCTTGTGTACTAAGCTGCATAAGTTACTATAGTTTTTTGACTAAACCACGGGAACTCTTTAATTGTCCGGGATGAAAAGTATCTAAATATTGACTGAGGATATAAGGTACCACCATGCAAAATTTCATTTAAATCGGTCTAACAGTTTCGGAAATACACAAACAGACAAACAGACAGAGAATCAAAAAAATTGAAAAAAAATCTGGATTTGTTCTATTTCTCTTCTTACACCCCCCTGACTCGGTTTTTAGCATTTTTTTCTATGTACAGACATTCGACATGTACAGTTTTATTATATGTATAAATATATAGATATCATCTGCTTCTTAGACACTATGAAAAAAAAAACGTATAATAAAAAGAATCACATTATGTATCTAAATATATACTTAAATAAGTATTCAAAGTAACAAAACAAATTTAATTCCAATGTTAAATGACAACTCATTTTTTTATCGAAAAAAAACTCTTATCACCAGTAAAGGCGATAAGAAGGTATGCTTTATATTAAAAAAAAATTAGCACTCCAAACACATACAGTACTTCACTGATTGTAGCCAATTTCTAGTAATTCATTTTGTTTTTATTTCATTACTTCAATGTGTTTTGTTCGCGTACCTATTTAAAGAATAATTAGCATGTTTCTTTGATTTACCAAATTATAAAAAAAAAAAAATTTAACAAACGAAAAACAAAGGAATTGTGCTGCAAACTTGCGTGTAAGTTGAATTAGGGATACCCCTAATGTATCTACATTAGAGGATTTCTTTTAAAAATAACTGACTCTTAAGCACATTACGTGATTGATTTTTCCTCTTAATAACATACATACGACGTCAACTGAAGTGGCTCCCTATTCGTTTTCGCCATAACATTCGAGTATTATGTGTGATTTACAATATTTTGAAAACTTCTACAGCTTCTTATTTAAGTGAGTGCTTTACATTAGTGCCCCCTAGATACAGACCAGTGCGTTCTTGTGTCAATTTGTCCAAATTAGTGATTCCTCACTACAGTACAACATTCTATGAAAAATCTTTTTCTGTTATCGCAGCAAGATTGTAAAATTCACTGCCTGATTATATTTTCAAAGATGATCCCTCATTTACATCATTTAAATTTAGAATTAAATAGCACTATTTATCAAATCAGATATAAATTATAGTAGATAAGTATGTACGTATATGTAAGTACATATGAAGGTATATATGTTTGTATGTATGTGTGTATAAATATATATATTATTTAAATTATAATATTTAGTTAATATGTTTTAATATAAAGTCAATTCCATTTAATGCTGTACTGTACTTACTAAATGAACTTATTTTCTCACTCCTGAAGGGTTTCTGGAAGAAATCTCTTAAAGAAATAAGTTATCCTTTGTCGACATTTTGTTACTTTATTTTGTATAACATATGGATCCGGTTCTGATCCGGACTGGATTTTAGGGTAATAAATAAATAAATAAATAAATACATTATTTAACAGTTTCATAATAAGCGAATGATATTATATTGATTAATATAAGTATTATATCTCTAAAATAAAAATATAATAAAAAACTATTTTCATTTAAATACACATATAATGTTTACTATAGACATCATTAATTGTACGATTTTTCCCATTTTAATCACACGATTATATTATATACAACGAGTTCACTTTATATACACGCATAAATAGAGAGTTCAGTATAATATCTTTAACCACACATGGACACCCATTTCGGTTTAAATCAAAACATCGCTTGTCACAAGGCCATGTCTATATACAGTCTAGATATTTATGTTATAATTTTTTAATCTCTTTTAAGCAAACTCACGTAACTCGAAAATAAATATCAACATGACGCAGCACTTATGGACCAAATTCATATAAAGCATTAGAATAAAGATTTACAAGTCTCATAGTGCCTTACACTGTGTTAGAAGTAGTTAGCTCGCGTGGTGAGATAAAATGATGTCACTATCAGCAATTATAGTTTTATTTGTAGTACAATTTGTGCATATTAAATCAGCAAGGATATTAGCAGTTTATCCAACACCATCGATCAGTCATCAAGTGGTATTTCGAAGTTTAACTGATGAATTGATTAAGCATGGTCATCAGATTACCGTTGTCACTACTGATCCAAAATATCCAAAGGGACAATCTCCTACGAATTTAACCGAAATTGATATGCATGATCTATCATATGGAATTTGGAGAGATGTATTGTTACGTTCTAAATCAGCAGACCATGAAAGTACAGCACTGGAAATAATATTCCGAGGATCATCAAATGTTTTTAAAGCACAGCTTAACACTCAGGAATTTCAAGATATTATTAAGAAAGGAGAATATGATTTGTTAATGCTTGAAGCATATCTCAAGCCAGTTCTAGTGTTGTCAGAAATTTTCAAGGTACCTGTGATCCTCGTGAGTTCTTTAGGTGCTGTAAATGAAAACTTTCGCGCTGTAGGTGTGCCTACTCATCCGTTTATATATCCAAGTCCAGTTCAACGTAAAATATACAATCTGACAAACTTGGAAAAGTTACAACAATGGTACGATCATTGGACAATGGAAAATATTTTTAGTGCAATTGATGTAGACGATGACAAAATGTTAAAATCTCTGTTTGGTCCCGAAATTCCATATATAGATAAATTACTGAATAATATTGATATGTTGATGATTAATACGCATCCAATTTGGTTAGAAAACCAGCCAGTTCCACCTAATACAATATACATTGGTGGGTTACATCTAAAGCCTCCACAGGATTTACCTAAGGTATGTAAGATACACTAATATTATCCATCATACATACAGCTTTAAAATGAGGAAAATATTCTTATTTTGTCTTTACATCATTTTTACCCGACTGTAGTGAAGCCCAAAGAAGTGTTATATGTTTGACTGTATGTATGTATGTAGGTATAAACCAATTTCTCATAATTATTATATATATTTTTATATGTTTAGATTCTAAATTTGTGTAAATTTAAGCAATTATCATACAGCGTTTTATTTTTAATTCTGCTTAATTTTACATTTCACAAAAGGAAACTTTAATAACAAGAAGAATACTTGTCTCAATGCCATGTCTAGGTACAGTCTGTTACAATCTAAGGAAATATTTTAAAAATTATTGTACCTCAAGTGTATTAATTAGCACCAAAGAAACATATTTAATATATACATTAGAATAAGAGATTCACAAGTTTCATAGCATTTAGACTGAGATTCAAGTAATTAGCTCGAGCTGTGAGATAAAATGACAACATTATATTCTGTAATTATAGTTTTATTTATGACACAATTTATAGAAATTCAATCGATGAGAATATTAGCAGTTTACCCAACACCAGAGGCCATCCATAAATTACGTCACACGTTCAGGGGGGAGGTCAACGAAATATGAAATTGTGTGGGGGGGAGTCATAAGCTTCGTGACGTCACATGTCAAGTATTAATTAAAATACAAAACATTAAATGTAAAGGAAAAATAAAAAAATGATCTTTCTTTACGCTATATAAGGTTTATATATTGTTTTTTTGGCGAATTCTCGCTGAGCTACAAGCAGCTCATTGTTGTACCACGCTGTTGATGTTGACATTATTAAAAACATTTTTTGGAACTGCTGATTTTATTTTATTCAGTTCTGGGTGTAGGGTGTAGGTGGGAGGGTTCAAAAAATCATTAAATTCGTGTGACGTAATTTATGGATTGCCCCCCATCGATCAGTTATCAAGTGGTATTTCGACGTTTAACTGGTGAATTGATTAAACGTGGGCATCAGATTACGATTTACACTACTGATCCAAAATATCCACTAGGAGGAACTACTGAAAATCTAACTGAAATTAATGTGCATGATATGTCATATAAACTGTGGAAAAATCAATTAGCGCAAATAATATGGAAAAAGGACAACTTTGCAGATATAACAATATTTCGAAATCATCAATTATTTTTAAGGAACAATTAATGACCCAGGAATTTCTACATATTATAGACAAAAACAAAGGAGAATACGATTTGTGACTGCTAAAAGCATATATTAGGCCAACTTTAGTGCTATCTGACATTTTTAAGGTACGGATACTCGTGAGTTCATTTGGTGCTGTAAATTATAACTATAACGCTGTAGGTGCACCTTTTTATCCATTTATATATGCACATCCAGTGCAATGTAAAATATACAATCTGACAAACAGAAAAATACAGCTATTGTACGATAATTGGCAGTTGGAAAATATGCTAAGTGCACTTGAAAAAGAGGATAATGAAAGGTTAAAATCCATATTTGGTCCCGACGTTCCATCCATAGACGTATCATTTAATAATGTAGATTTATTAATGCTATTGTATGTAAATAATTGTAATAATTTGCATTCAATTTGAGTAGAACATCATCCACTTCCACCTAATACAATATATATTGGCGGGTCATACATACAACCTTGACGGGATTTACCTAAGGTATGTGAGCTTAGTAATGTGATGTGATGTTCTCCTAGCCGATTCCGGCTACGGCGGCCAATCTCATTGAGATTAGCCAACTGCGCAGGATATATTATAGTGCTCAAGTGTACGCGCAGACACAACGTGCACTCTCTATTCCCATCACTCTCATACTCCGGTGGGACGACCACTCGATACGACCGGTGAGAGTTAAGACGCAGGACCGACGGCTTTACGTGCTCTCCGAGGCACGGGGGTGAAACACCGCCAACTTCGCAACTTCGGGCTGTTACTGAGACTTACTATACAGAAAGACTCAATAACTAATCTTTGGCCTGACCCGGGACTCGAACCCAGGACCTCCGGGTGTGCAGCCGTACATGCTAGCCACTACACCACCGAGGCAGTTAGTAATGTACTTGACTATGAGAAGAATACTATTGGTAGACCTAGTGTCTTTGAACTTGTACGTAGAACACGAAAGATATGGAATGGAATTACTTATGTATTTAAATTTCAGTATTTTCATTGATTTAAAAAAACCATGTTATCATTATTACGAGCACTTTATGGCATATATCACTACTTCTTAGACACAATGAGAAAAAAAAATTATAATAAAAAGATATATATATATATATATACTAGCATTGCCCGCGGCTCCGCCCGCGTTCAGATGACCAAAAACTAAATTCTTAGGTGTTACATATTAATATACTCTTACATTGCAGTTTTTGTATTTTTCCTCAGAAATAAGATATTTTCCCGCGGTAAAAAGTATCCTAGGATCGCGCGCTACATCGCCCGGTTTATATAGCTTGAGCAGGCGGTCGAGCGATGCGGGGCAGAGGGGATGGACTCGCCGTAGGCATCTCAATGCTCGCCAAGCATTAAAAATGTTTCGCTACTAATTACTTCTAACAACGATATCTCAAAAACTATTCATCTGATTGATTTAGTGTAAAGAGCAATTTTAATCTGCATTAAATGACTAAGCTAACTAAAATATTCATTTGGATAAGGATTAATACCGAACTAAAGAAAATAACTTTGAAAATAACGTAATGTTTTTAATTAAAAATGTTAACATAAAAGTGGTTATTGTAAGTCAACCGTAAGAGATAGAGATATGCTATCGCGGACTTTTTTGTAGCATTTTTATAGATTTTGAATTCTCTAGTACATTACTTAACTGTATCTTTGCTAGTTTACGCGGCGTTCGCGTGGAAAGTTCCCATTGGGCGAGATTTTTTGCGACCTCTTCAACATTTGTCGCCGTATTTCAGCTAATTTACATAAAAGCATAATAAATTATATACCTAAACCTTCCTCAAGAATTACTCTTTCTATTGTTGAAAACCGTATAAAAATCCGTTCAGTAGTTTTCGAGTTTATCGCGTACAGACAGACAGGAGGACAGACAGGAGGACAGAAAGACGCGGCCGGGGGACTTATTTTTATAATAAGTATAGATATATATATATATATATATATATATATATATATATATATATATATATATATATATATATATATACATTATGTACATATATTACATATCTAAATGTATACTTAAATAAGTAGCGACGCAAATTACATTTCAATGCTAAATGGCATTTCCGATTTTTTTTATCGAAAACAAGTCTTATCTCTTATCACCGGAGGCAAACCTCTAAATATAACAATTTTTATTACACTATAACAATACCAACATTGTCAAAGCAGTTTTATCCGTTAAAATAGGGAAAATGTGTGATGGTATAATGTTAAATATCCAGGATTTATGGCCAAAAAGCTATTGTAAAATTCTTAATAATGGTGAAAGATAAAAATATAAAGTTTGGCTAAAAAATTGGCTGGGGGCTTAAAAGTTCCAACAACTAAAGTTTATTTAATTTCTAAGAAATCAATTGCTAACCGAGCCACCTGTGGCTCGGCAGTCGCTGACAGGTTATCATGTACAACTTTATGAAAAGTTGCTGTTACAATTTATATCTATATATGGCCGATGAGGCCTTAATAAATAACACCAACAATTTTTACAATTATTGGTCCACTATAATTGGTGAAATATTCGTAACATACACTTAAAAAAATCATACACAAAAAGGAGGTTCACATTTATTTTTTTGAAAATGGTCAAAAATATAACTTTGAGAAGATTTGTCATGCTAATAATATGTAATTTCAAAGCCTTTGCATAATAAGAATACTTTTGCTTCTCAGTACGTGTGCGAAAATATTATGTATGTTCGTAAAAATATACAAGAATTTCCCAAAAAGTGTGACATGCATAACATTAATACTAGAAGTAAATACAAGCTTCTAATGCCTGAAACTTATACACAGAGTCACTAATTCTTTTTATATATAATGTATACGTTTTTAGAGTAGGATACCTGAAAATTTTCAAAAAGCTTCTATCGTCAAAATAAAAAAAAAAGTTAAAGAACGTTTGTTTGCTAAAGGTTATTATACAATTAATGATTTTATAGAAGATGCCACGCCTTGGGAATGAAGTGAACTTTATAGAAATATTGTAAATTAGAATTTAACTTACAAAAAAGATAACGTAATAATATTAGTCCCGCTGAGTTTCTTTCACCAGTTCTTCTCAGGTCTGAGGCTTCTTCTTTCCGAACTCCGAAACGACTCATGATGTTCAGTAAATAATTGTAATAATTTAATGCTGAATAAAATATTTTGAATTTGAAAAAAAATAGAATATCTTTGGTCAGTGTATTTTTAGTACATCAACTGACATTAAATAAAACATACCCGTACAAGGTTACATTATGAAATATTTCTCAAACATTAATTTATATAACGTCGTGTTTTATGTTTTTATACATGCATTATTATTAATGCTTCCTGGTATAAGTAATCATTTATGATTTTGATATTCTAAAAAAGTCGTTATTATAAATACAGAGAATATTTTATAATCAGTTCGCAATTGCTCATAATTAATTAAACTTATGTCTGGGCTATTATTATTTGTAGTTATGTTGTATTGTATCGTTATCATTGTCTTATTATTCTTGGTTATATATTATTATCAGTTGTTTGTTCTTAATTGTACAATAATAAGTAAAATTGATCGTAATTGTGCAAATTTGTACAGAAGCTCTAGTCAATAGGTTGGCATTTTTTTTTTCAACTACAAATTTTGGCATTTAAAATGTGCCCATGATTATACCTTATAAATAAACAAATTGCACTATTTTTTACGAAAGGATAAGACTAACTTTTAATAATTTTAAATTTTACTTTTATAGGAACTGCAGTCATATTTGGATACATCGAAAAATGGAGTTATTTACTTTAGTTTTGGCACAAATGTACAACCGGAGTTACTGCCACCACAAAAAATACAGATGTTTGTGAATGTTTTTTCACAATTACCCTATGACGTTTTATGGAAATGGGGCTTAGATACTTTACCAGGAAAATCGGATAACATTAAAATATCTAAATGGTTGCCACAGGCCGATCTACTAAGTAAGTCAAGGGAATTATAATGTATATTTTGTGTCAACTCATAGATTAAAATTAGTTCTCACTGCAAGGATATTTTTATTGCAGTGAGAAAAAGGAAAGTGAAAGGATATAAAATATCTCTGATTGTCTGCCTATCCGTTCGTAATCTTATAAGTAGTTCAAGTATCATCCACCCTCATTTATTAGAAGCATGAATTCAATATAACCAAATTAAAGTGATGACACATGGCATAGAAACGTGCTTGCTGAAGATGGGGCTCATAAGAAAATGGCCTATCTTCAGCAGTCGACGAACGACGGACGTCTTTCGGCTTAGAGGAAATAAATTAATAATTTTATATTGATTGCTCGTGCTAAGTCAAACATGAATTTTACATAAGATTAAAAATAGCAAAGAACCTAAACTATTTCTATCATATATCATACAAAAATTTAAATAAACGTAGTTCGAAATTATAAATTTAAAATAAAAAAAAATTAAATAAGGGCAAACTCGAAGGTTTACAAGTAGTAAATAAAAGTTTTCTATCCTGATTCCATTTTTAGATCCGCTCGAAGGTACCAATTTTTGATATTACGCAGATTTCACATACATTTGGAGTAGAAGAAAAATCAAATATGCGCTTTCCTTTCCTTTGTTATATTAACTTTAAAGAAGCGAAAAACTTCATTAAGAATAATAATAAATTTTAAATGTTGTATACAATGAGATGTTCTGGATAATTTTACGAAAGCAAAAATCGTTTGTTAGATTTCTATATGAAACAAATATTTTCGTTAAAATTATATTATAGATCACAAAAGAAAGAATTTTTTATAGAAATCATTGGTTTTTAGTTAAAAATATTTTTTTTCCTTAATTCTCAGATTATATAGGATAATGCATGGAATTTCATATGAGGTAAATATCCTGCGCACACATTCTTTTGTCGTAATCGTTCATTATTGTTTACATAAAGATTATAAAATTTGTTAATACAATTCTCAATTTGCTGTCTAAAATATGAGGCAGTTATGAATCCAACTGCATAAACCTGGATTTATAAAACTTTAGAAAAAAGACCAATAGCGTTAAATCGCATGATCAGGACGGCCAATTTTGTTAACCAAAACGAAAAACTATTCGAATTTTGATTTATGCACACTATAATTTCCTTAAAATGTCCTCCCTACAATACGAGAATCAAGCCATAGTCAAAAAAAACTACAAAAGTCTACCAAACCACACCGGCCAAGTGTGGTTTGGTAGACTTTAATGCCTTTCGAAAACTTGCTTTTCTCTTAGACATGCAGGTTTCCTTACCATGTTTTCTTTCAACGTAAGACAAGTGGTAATCATGTTGGAAATGATTCGCACGTGAAAATATCAGAGGATCAAGACTCGGGACTTGAACCCGCTCCACTAGGTTTCCCAAGCGAGTGCGTTATCACTGAGCTACCTCTGTCTGTGAATATTATAATATGTAAAAAATACGGTATCGTGACATGATAATTCAAAAAAACAACTCCAATCGCTGCGTCATTTCCTTATACAATAATTTCCTCATAATTTGCTAGTTCATAAAAAACCTTATACAATATAATCAAGTATGGATCATTTAAAAATGTACAAATTTTAACTAAAGTTATGTGTAATTTTTATCCAAATAAATATATTGTACTATCATTGCCCGCGGCTCCGCACGCGTTCAGATGGCCAGAAACCAAATTCTTAGGTTTTACATATTAATATACTCTTACATTGCAATTTTTATATTTTTTTCTCAGAAACGAGACATTTTCCCGCGGTAAAAAGTATCTATTATGTTGACCCGGATAACCAGCTATCACCATACCAAATTTCATCAAAATCCCTCCAGTAGTTTTTCTGTGATGCGGTAACAGACAGACAGATATTTTTTTTAAAACTATTCATTTGGCCTCTGTATCGATAATAATGTTTATTTCAATAAGATTTTCCAAAAAAATACTTAATGTACAGATTCGGCTTAGTTACAAATTTATTATATGTATAGATAAGTTTTTAGCACGTGTACTGCATAGTACTTTAGAAGGTTAAACAATAAATGTAATAATTGGTATGCACCATCTATGCCATCCAATATAATAGACGGCATAGATGATGCATACAAATTATTATTCCAAGCAAAAAATATGTATATGTACGTTAGTTTTGACCGTGCAGACTTATGTTCTTATCGCATATATGGGACTAATTTACATTCTGGGAATGTTCAAATATAATATCTTATAACTAAGTGCTAAGCACTTCTTAAAAGACGTAACACCTCGTCTTATCGCCTCTACCGGTGACAGGAGAGCTGACGCATTTTTCGCCCAAATAATCGGCATTGCCATTCAACGGGGCTAGCATTCTTGCCACTATTCCAGGCGGACATGACTTGTACAGTAATAACTAAGTGTACAATTGTTTTGTATATATAATTAAGTATATTTGTAATTTTATTTATTGTGTTTTTAATTATATATGTAGGTACCTAAGTACATGTTATGATGAATACATCGTTAAAAATAACTTTGCGTGTTAAAAGGTCATGTATGCCTAGAATACTAACATATAACCGCTTCGAAAAAAATAGTATTTTAATATGCTTGATTGTTTTTTTGTATGTTATATGTATCTACGTAGGTATAATAAAATTCTGAGACGAATCTGTACATTAAATATTTTTTGGAAAATCTTATTGAAATAGTCATTATTATCGATACAGAGGTCGAATCTATAATTTTTAGAATTTTTGTCTCTCTGTCTGTCTGTCTGGGAACGTAACACGAGAAAACCACAAGGCAGATAATGATGAAATTTGGAGTGATGTGAGCTGGTTATCCGGGTCAACATATAGGATACTTTTTGCTGCTGGAATTTTTTTCATCTCTGAGGAATCTATACTAAACGTTAAAACGTAAGTAGGGACGAACCCGAGCGGAGAGAGGGTGAGTCGCTAGCCTATCTATATAGATACAAATAAAAGGTTGTTCGGTGGTAAGCTCATCACTTAAGGACGGCTAAACCAATTTTGCTATTTTTTTAGTAAATACTTGTAATAGTCCAGAAAAAATACAATAAAAAAATGAGATTGACATTAATTTATGTCTCTATGAAGTAAAAGTGAATAAATTATTTTATCATCGCATCCTGATTCTCCAGAAACGCGATAAACCGTAACCCTGAAACTTAATGTCAAAAATTGTGTTACGAGTGTATTCGATTTGACCCTGTTCCAGTGTTATCTATTCTGATATAATATGAAACTACTAATTTTTATATCAGCTGATATGGACAAAGTTCTATGGGCACTTATTTACTGCTTACGGAACTTTACAATTTATTAACAACAAAAAAATATTTTGTGATAATTTTAATTATATTATTATTTTATTAATTACAGGACACCCAAAAGTAAAGGTTTTCATCACTCAAGGAGGTCTACAATCGACAGATGAAGCCATAAGAGCTGGCGTACCAATGGTCGGTATACCGATGTTAGGTGACCAATGGTATAATGTACAGAAATATGTCCGACATGGAATAGGTGTCCAGCTCGAAATAAATACCTTGACTGAAAATGAATTTAAAGATGCTATTAAAAACGTGATTAATGATAAAAGGTACGATTTCACATAGACTATTTGAGTATTACAAGTATTTTAAACAGTAGAAAAACAACTGTTTAGAACTGTAGAACACTTCATTAAAGTGTACAAACGCATTTTTTACATTCATTCATTTTCATTATATGTTAATATTATACATTTTGGATAATCCAAAATTTTAAATAGCAATGATTCAGAAAAATTATAGTACACATTTACGAAAAATATAAAATAATTAAATCGTTATAATTTACATTAAAATAAAATATTTTTTACCAAAGTTAATTATATCCCGTTGAAATCTGATAAAAATGGTCCCATTAAAATGCCAGATTAGCGAGAGACGCGTACTCATATCAACACGTTCATTTGTAGGTATCCGTGTAATATAACAGAACCTTACAATGCCTACATTATCTGTGGGAGGATGTTTCGGAGAGATATTTACCACAATAAACATTTTTTTTCACTCCTCACTTATATGTATAGAGTGCAATTTTTTAAATATTTTATTACTTGACTTCATCATCGTTTCGCATGTCACGCGATATACCAAATTTTTGTGTTTTAGTGCTATAGTAATTTTAGTTATAATAAACCTGTGAGTAAAATTGGTATTGATATTGGTTTTTCTATACTGAATTCTAAAAAAAAGTTTGCTCGTAAAAATATATAAAATAAAAGCTTGCTAGTATAAATAAAATAGATATGTCGCAGCTAACTAGCTTAATTAGCTGTTTATTTAACAGCCTAGTCTCTAAGCTAAACGGCGCCGTTCAACAAACAGCCTAAATGATATCGAGTCGTAGCGTCTAATACAACATTTAATGTACTGGCTAACAGATGCTTGGGCTGTTCATAAAATACAGTAACCGTATGATGAAAATATATTATATATTTAAATGAGAATTCTTATTTATGTAAAGTAATTAAATGAACAGTTTATCGCACGGCTTACTCGAAAAAAGGGTTGGTTAGGTTAATTACATTACGTGGCCGGCGAGTGCCAAAAATGACTAGAATTTTTAGAAAAAAAAATGCTTTAGAAAAATCCAAGTATTATATGAAAAATTTATAATTGAACTTAATTTAAATTACTAGGTTAGGCAAGTAGTTAAACGCTATCGATCCAAGTCCATTGTCTAGTTGTTTGAACGAAGGCTGAATATCAATCAGGCCGCTAGTAGAATGGAGCCGTTTAGTTAAGAGACTAGGCTGTTAATTGAACGTCTAACTAAGCTAATTGGCTGCGACAGATAAATAATAATGGAATAATAATATATAGTGTAAATAGAACGTTTAAATTTTGTTATTTACAAATAATTTAGCATAGTTTACCATGTCATCTGACAATGTCACGTATAATAGAAAACACATCCCACTAAAATTTGAAATGCGTCATTTATAAGTGTGTTTGTTTGTTACTTCTTCATGCTATGTAACAACGGCCTTGTTTCTTACCGCGACCACGCAATTGGAGCCACGTGTAAAAACTAGTGAATAAAAGATACTTAATTTATTTTTACAATATCCTGTAACTTTTAAATAATTTTCTTATTATTTTTAACACTAAGAAGGATTGATTTAATTATAATATTTTGGCAGTTTCCGAGAGAATATAATCCGTTTACGAAAAGTCATAGAAGATCAGCCGATGACGCCGGCTGAGCGTGCAGTGTGGTGGGTCGAGCACATTATACGTCATGGCGGTGGAAAACACCTTCGTGCCGCTGGAGCCAATATGACTTGGAGGCAATATTTTGAACTAGATTTAGTTTTCATTGTTTTATCTGTGATAATATGTATATTAGCCATAGGATTAATAATTATTTATAGCTTATGGAAATTTATTATGAAGAACATTAGTACTAATACAAAAATTAAGAGAAGTTAGAATTTTTTTTGCTGTATTAAAAAAAAACCCAATTAAGGGTATTTTTTTAAAATCACATTGATGTTTATTTAATGAAAGAAAGTTTTCAATAAATATATGTATATATTGCAAGTTAGTAATTTATCAATTTATATAAACTTCTTCTTGCTTCTATTATCATTCAACCAACTATTACATCATCATAAATATTATTGAGTAATTTAAGTTTATTTGCTGTCTTTGTACATAATTGAATTACGAGAATCTTTGCTTATAAAAACCGCAATGGAACAACAATGTGAAAGTCAATTAATACATTATTATAATAGCATACATTGTATTGACTTCAAAAAAGGAGGATATAGATGTTTTGAGATATGGGTGTTTTTGTACCACGTGTTCAGCTACAAAAATAACTTTGTTTTTCATAAAAACGAAATGAAATACAAATTTGTTCTTGCAGTTGACAAAATAAATGTTCTAGGATAGAAGAATTTTATTTTTTATTAATAATACTTTCTTAGGTTTACGCGAATATTTGATATTTTAAATAAAACTATCGTTTCGGATTTTTTCGCTGATTTATTTTGATTTTTTGGTTCCCGACGTTTCAAATGCTTTACAGCAATCATAGTCACTGGAGAGACTAAGGTTTAAGATGTCTCAAAAGCATTACCTACATATATAGTTGTTACAGACAGCCTACTCACAAATTAACAAAAATGAATTCAAAAAATTCAAAAATTATATCAAAGTACCTTACAATACTTGTTAAGTTTAATTTTAAGCATTTCTATAATTTTAATAAGTTTTATAATTGAATATTATGAAATATTATTTATTTAATTTTGGCTGTTATTATTATAATTATTACATTTTCTTAGAAAACTTAATTAATCAGTAATATTATTTAGTGTTGCCATTATTATATTTATAAACATAAAGAAAATGAAATTATATTTATTATTCAAAGCAACATTATTGTGTAATTAAAAAAACTACATATTTTAGCACTCTAGAAGCATATAATGCTTTTCAAATACCTATCATATTGATAGAAAAAAAGGTGAGTTTAAATGACAAAGAAAATAATCTACTTAAACATCTTGGCTTGTTAAAAACTACTGCAAGTAACACAGTGAAAAATAGTAGGCCCCTTGAAATTATACTTGGATAGCAACTCGTTTATAAAATCTCAGGTTTGAACATAAAATAACGGAAATCAGAAATTGACGATTGTAACTACTTGTCGCTATTCTACAAGTTACACAACGTTCCATAGTATCCGTTCAACAAAAGGTCCATAGTAAAGTTGAAAATAGCGTACTCAAGTTATATGTATATGAGTTTCTATCAATTTTAAATGCAGTACAAGTTTAACAACATCAGAAGTAAAATGTGATTGGAATTAAAATACTGGAAAACATATTTAAAACATTAATTTATTTAAAAAAGGTTACGAAACGAGTTTAATTTAATTGTTATGGCTTTTAAGCGCGCGAAAACGTATGATCGGGCATCCGGTAGCTGTCAGTGTCATCTGTCAGCAAAGATTAAAAAACAATGTGATCTATGGAAACATAAATATTGATGTATTCGAGAATCGATTTAATAAAATTTTATTGATATCGCAGATTTTTCATACATTTTTATATTTTCTGACTGCTGCTTGTTATGTTGTTTCTAAAAAAATATAATATTAAAAGAATATTTGAGCTAGCAGTAGCGCTTTTTCTTCATACATTTACTAATAGTAGTATCATGAACACTTCCACTTTATTATTATTTTGCATCTCTGCTATTTTTTTAGTATTCAGTATAATCAGGCTTAGAAATAACTTTCAATGTTAAAGTGCCTAGGCACAGCTAATATAAAACTACTGTGTGTGCCTAAGTGTCCACGCTAGCCGATCAACCTTTTCGTAGCGTTTTTTTGCGGATCTGTTTTAAGCAATTACTCACCCTAAAATTCTAAATGATCATAGCACCTTGGACCTATTCGGAGACTTGTGACCTAAACTCCAAAAAAAAAAGCGAAAACATGAATTTTGATAACGTTTTTTATTTCTTCCTTATTTTTTATGAATTATGGTCTCTCTATCTCTGTCTAATTATTTCTCATTAAGAATAATTAATCTAATGTAATTAGATATTAGATAATTAGCTTCTAAGAATCTCCTTATATGCATGTGGTATTCCGTATTCACCTTAAAAGCTTTTATTACGTATTCACCTGATAAGACCCGTTGTATAATTTATAATTAGTCATAATATTGTAATTGCCACTGGTGAATCTAATGAATAAATAATGTTAAGGTCGAATTATGATCACTAGGCGAATATTACTAAAAAAATATATTGAGCCCTAGTGACTCATCCTTGCTTTGCTCGGGTTCGTCCTAGGTACGTTTTAACGGTTAGTATAGATTTCTCAGAGATGAGACATTTTCCCGAAATAAAAAGTATCCTTTATGTTGACCCGGACAACTAGCTATCATTATACCAAATTTCATCAAAATTTATCCAGTGGCTTTCTTGTGATGCCTTCCCAGACAGACAGACAAAAATTCTAAAAACTATAGATTCGGCCTCTGTGTTGATAATAATGACGTTATAAAGATTTTCCAAAAAAATATTCAGTATACAGATTCGACTCAGTTAGAATTTTATTATATGTATAGATAAATAAAATTAGAATATTCAAAATGTAATTTTAAATCTACTTAAGAAATAAATGCGAAATCTAGCTGTTTGTGTAATATCTTAACTTTAAGACTCAAGCTTAAAGCTACAGAATGTTTAACTAAATATGTATTTATTATGAAGCTTATTTACGTTTTAGAAATACATACGTGTAACTTGTAGATGATATACAAACAGCGAGAAGAGTAATTACGTTTTGTTTGTTCTTGAAACGAGAAATCATATTGATACAGTGTTATTATATTGTAATTATATTGTAGGTAGATATATGAAATAATATATTCAAATACTAGAATATACTGTGAATCTTAAATACTTTATCGTTATTTAATTTTTGAATTAATCTCTAAAAACAACGGAATATGCCAACGGAAATCTATTACTAAGCTTCCGCTGTCCGTCCATCCGTCCGTCATGAACCATAATAGGTAGAGAGTTGAAAATTTCACAGATTATGTATTTCTATTGCCGCTATAACAATTAATAATATAAATAAATAAAAATACAAGAAACATTTTTAACGTACGTAAACGATCAAAGTAATTATAATATAATCGAATTAATCATCGAAGTAAAAGTCATATCAATAAAAAGTACATGTACGAAGGTATACGGAATTCGAACCTTCGCGTGCGAATTCGACTCGCACTTGACCGATTTTTTATGTTAGAGTATATACCGACGTTAAGAAAAACTGGAAACAAATATATAAATATTATTGTTTTATTAGACTTCTACAACTATGCACAACGATGCATAGTATACGAACAAAAAAATGGCGAATCCTGGTTATTTTTGGAATGTAAAATTAATCGTCAATCTTTCGTATAAAAAATGTACTTGAATTTACCTACCTTGTACATTAGGTACGAGTATACTTGTACATTGTTCCTATTCACGTGTCTTTTCATATTAGATCATCGACATTTTGTTTAGTAGCATATAAAATCCTATAATCCTTCTCCTGTGCTTTGTTGTACTCAATTTGGTTGTAATTTTTTTAATATTAAAAGAAACATATTATAAACAAATATATAAACTGGCTCTCGCTCTGCTCGGTTTCGTCCCTAGTTACGTTTTAACGTTTAGCTCAGGTATTACATGTTTTCCTGAAGTAAAAAGTATCCTATATATTGACTCGGATAAGCTATATAAAATTTCATCAAAATCTGTCCAGTAGTATTTTCGTGATGCGGTCACAGACAGAGAGACAGACAAAAATTCTAAAAACTATAGATTCGGCCTCTGTATATATAATAATGACTATTTCAATAACATTTTCCAAAAATATTTAATATACAGACAGATTCGACTCAGTTAAAATTTTATTATATGTATAGATGAAAGCAAGACACATAAATCTATTTCGTATATTCATTATTTCCCTCCTAAAGCAAAATGCCTGTAATGTGTTGTTACTTTATTACGTCCATTAGGCTCCTTTATTTCCTAAGAGTAGGTGAAGTTATATGAAATTATAAGCCAGAATGATTTAAACATGAAGTCAACAAAAAGATCAGCTTACAGTCTATGCAGTCTCGGATACGATTCTATTCAGAGAAACGCTAGATCAAGTTGATTGATTTTTGATGGCTTTCGCCGCTTATGTATTTTAATTTTTTTCACAACAACTGCATTCGTTTTATAATTGTGTTGGATCGAATGAGACGTTTAAGCTATGAAATAAAATAAAGCTAATGTTAATTTATTTCTTACTTTGTGTTATAATTACTATATTAAACGTATATGAGTTTTCCACCAATTCGGAATGAAAGTTCAGATCCAAAGCCCTAAATAGAAAGCTCGAGTACTGAAAATCTTCGTACAGTAAAGGAACACATCGTGAGGAAACTTGTACGTCTGAGAGGACCTAGCAAGTTTTCATAAGACATTTGAAGTCCGCCAACTCGCACCTGGCCACCGTGGTTGACTACGATCTGATCCCCCTCGTATTAAAAAGAGGCCCGCTCCAGCAGTGGGACGTGAATTCGTAAGAGTCTAATTAGTCTCAAGTACACAAGGATAGTGTCAAAAATATGCACATAACATGTGTGTATGTAACTTAACAAAACATAAACCACGAAATCATGATAATAAATAATTGTTTTTTTTATAAATACTTCATTAATGTGGAATCGTTGACGATATAATAAATTTAACTCTTAACCACAGCGATCGCTGCCAATTTAAATATTTATATGAGTGAGTGAATTTTATGTTTTTCATTGACACCATTTAGAGTTAATAACTGTAAAATTTTCGCATTCAGGCATTATTTTTGGAAATTATTTTAAAAATTCTATAATTAAAGTTAATAGAGCTGGGACCCAATAGCAAATTTTGAAGCGAGCGTGAGTCGCTAGTCAATACAATACTTCAATCAAACTTTTGTTTAAGCAGAATTCGCTTAAAAATAATGACAACTTTAAACATAACATAAGAAAGTGCTTTCTTTACTATTATTATAGAAACAATAAAAATAGATATGACAGTAAACACTAATTCCAGTTCATAATATACGGCCCAATGCATATTAGCAGCTGGTGCTCGCAAATGTTTTGCACCGTGCTGTAGTACATGCTCCGTCCACCACACGGCCCTTTGTAATGCTGTTTGCGGCTGATCTTGCATTAGAGAACGTAGCTTGATGATGTTTGCTCGATAACTGAAAATTAGAGTACCATTATGAATGTATATATATATATATATATATATATATATATATATATATATTTGTGATTCATAATAGAATATAGCCTGCAATAACACATAAGATACTGCTAGGCATGGTAGGTACTCGAAAGAAGTGATGGTCAGTCGCTAGTGTAGTAAAAAATTTCAAGCTTTACATTGTCAAGGTCTTAGTCTATAACCTTTATATTACGAGAACAGTTTATCTTTCTCGAACGTACTAATAGTGTATGTCCTTTCTGTTTAAATTCTATCTAACAGACAGCCCTACAAATTCAGCTGTCTTCGTAAAATTAGGAAGTTCCATCGAAAAAGATAAATATATACGCGAAGTCACTAGCATTAGTATATATATCAGGATATTTCATAATTACCTTACATCACTAATAACTGTCTCAATGGAATTTTTAAATTTATCATCAGTAAGTGTGTCTTTATGTAATTGGATACCAATTTTATAATGTTTATAAATCTCTGTATTATACCATTGATCTATTAATAATGGTAGTGCAACTAAAGGTACCCCAGAATTAATTGCTTCTACCGACGACTGTAATCCTCCTTGAGTTATAAATACTTTAATATTTGGATGTCCTGAAATTTGAAAATTAGTAATGTGAATAATAAACTGATATTAAACGAACATTTTATTATTAAGTTTTTTTTGTACTTATATTTTTTGCAAAATTCAGATGAAAAGTTAATTCTAATATGCTTCAATTTGTCGTCTTTGTGCTTATTAAGTCCAAACGACCAATTTTTCGAAAGAATTTTAATATGGAGTTACCTATAAAATACACAATCACTCTAAAAAACTTTTTTAATGTTCATACATAATATATAAATCTTAGAAATAAAGCTTTGTTTTTAAACGGAGGCTTATCCTCTCTAGATGTAAAGTACAACAAGTACTGGTAGTTTGAACAAAAAAGTACTAAAGCGACATAATACCAATACTCATATATAACGAATGTGTACGTGATTTGAAAAGTTTTATGATTGTGAAGCAAAAACATTTAAAAAAAGTTCCTTTTCCTAAGTAATAAATCACCATCACTCAAAAAAATACAAATCCAGGTCAGAAGGCTACGTAAGGCTAAAGGGATGACGTGAAGTGAGGCAAAACTTTTCCTTTGTTTTACTGTTATCTACCGTAGTCATCCAGGGAAAAGAAAACAGCATAAATTATTTCTTAGATTTCATAAAAATTTTCATAAAGATTTTCAATAGTAGAGTGTGGCAGAAGCTAAATGAAACTAAAAGTAGTAAATGCAAAAATGCAGTTGGCAAATATTGAATGTCCTCTAAAATGGAAAAACAAAAGTTGACTAGTCATTAAAAAATTCTAAAATGCACCAAAATATTTTACTTTCTTAAAATAATTAGGGCTCTCTAGCTGTTCGGATTGTTTCAAGATTCAAGATGAAAAATATTTAAAAGAAAAAATATATTTTATTATTTTATCATTAAGCTATGTATATTAAATTAAAATAGTACTTTTTAAGTACGATATTATTGTTTTTAATATTGCCAGATTTTGGTATTTGGTACACCGTATGGCCATCAAGAACTTCCTTTTTGCCAAGTCGCTGACTCTAATCTCACTTGGTATAAATATTTGAATTACTCGTTGTATTTTGTTTACTGCAATTTTGCTGTAAACTAGCATGTCTGTTACATTATTTTTATCATTAACCATGAACGCGTATATATTTTTTTCATATTAAGATAAACAGTGTTGTGACACTTTGATTATTCGTAAACGCTTGTATACGAAACTGATATAATATAACCATAAATGTACTTCTTGGATCGAAAGTTAAAGCTAATAACTTGCTATATACTTTGATATTTTATTGCTATCACAAGCACGCAAGTCATTTATATAGCATAATGTACATCATTTGCACAGCAATGGCTTATATTACAGTCATTAAGCATTATATTCCATTACTCATTAATTTATCACTATTACTGCATTTCACTTGACTTCACCTTTGCTTTTGTATCTTTTTTCTCAATATTTATCTACTTTACTTTGAGTTCAGGCTGATGTCTCGGCAAAATGCCGACCCTTTATATCAATAAAACAAAGAAATTGTAGCAATCATAGCTTTTCGAAAATCATTAAGTCCTTCTCATGATTAAATAACTATTTTTAGAATTATTTTTAAGCATGGTTTAGATACCCTATATACATATGTACATGTAAAGACGTTATAAATTCTAATCTGTACTACTATAATTTATTATTACACCATGAACTTTTATACGAAAGTATCTTAAAATAGTAAACTATAAAACAAAAAAATATAACTCACCCAGCAAATCGGACTGTGGAAACCATTTCAAAACTTTAACATTTTTTGGATTACCAACTAACTCTCCATCCCACTTAAGTAAAACATTATAAGGCAGTTGTGCAAATACTCTTGTAATTATTCTAATAGTATTTATTGGTAAAGATGATGGTCTAGAATTAGTACCCAGACTCATATAAATAACGCCATTTTTAGAGTGGTCAAGATAAATTTGAAGATCCTACAAACAAATAAAATATTATAATATTTTAGACGTACAAAAAATTATCATATTTATACTACCCTCAATTCAATCAAGTGTTTGCCTAGCAATGGCGAAGGGTTCATACAAGACTTCTAACCTTAAAATTATTTTGCTATAATTTTGCATACATTTGATTTTTTAAATGTATAAATGATCTTTTGGAAATATATATATATATATATCGTCCTGTTGTTTCAGCGTTAAGGAGTAACACCGACTACAAAGTTTGGCATTTTGCACTTGCGCGTATATAATATACGACTTCCGTACAGATTGTCTTTTATATTTTATCTATATTAATGGTACCGCGCTACTAGCTATGTGCATACCTTAGGTAATTCTCTTCTAGTATAATAATGTATACCTGATAAATTTATGACACTTTTTGGTTGAGGTCGATTAAAATCCCATAGGTTATGTATATTTAAAAATAGCAAGCTAGCATTTCCTCGCACTTCTTCAATATCTGGAAAGTCTTGGCCAAACAGTCTTTTTGAAATTTCATTGTCAGAATAACATAAATTGTAGTAATAATTAAAATATAACACCGTATTTCTACTTATATTGGTTATTGTTTCCCATATAGTAAGATTAAAAAAATTGTAATGTATAGGTATTGGATACAAGATGCAATGAGAGGAAGCACCCATCATTTCAGCAGTACCTCGCATCAATCCAAATGAATTAAATTGAATCACTGGTACTTTATATAAATGAGCATAAATTGATGCTAAGCGAGGAAAATGTTCTAAAAATAGCATATCGAAAGATTTTTCTTGATCACTTATTAACTTCTGTACTTCTGTTGATTTAAATTGCTCCTCAACTAAATATGATAATGTTGTAAGTATATGCTTGACTTGTGCAGATAAGTCTGATGTTTCACTTGTCGACATTAGCTTCAATTCGTTCCAAAATTTGTATGATATATCATGAACGTCGATTTATATCAAATTTTGCGCTGTCTGTCCTTTAGGGAAAGCAGGATCTGTTGTTATAACAACAACTTCATGTCCACGGCTTGCTAGCTCTTGCAATTAAGGTCTGAATACCACTTGGTGACTTAGTGATGAACACGGAAACACAGCTAGAATTCTTTCTGACTTAATTCTAGCAACAAATATTAAGAACAATAAAAAACTTAATATTTTAGATACGATCATGATTATCACGATTATTTTTACACACTGTACATTTAAAAAACAAATACTCCTTTAAAATATTTCACTTGTTTAACTTATTTACATAACAATATTTGAACACGTTTCTTTCATTAACGCGTATGGTAGGTTACTTTTGTATTTTTTACAATGGCATCAAAAATGATAATATTATCCTCAATACGATTGATATTTTTATATGTTTTTTAAAAGTTCAATCTATACTAATAAAATAATAAATAGTTATTATTTTTAGTGATAAGTATATTAGACAATAAAAAAATTAGAATATAATGGCAATTATTCAATTTTCTCAAAAAGTCTGGGAATTAATTGAATTAAAATTCACAACATTTTATTCAGCATTAAATTTTTACATTTTTTACCGTCTAATTTTTATGAGTCTAGTTTGAATATAAAAGTCTTAGTGCCGGGAAAAATTGTCTCTAGAAACCGAACGAGACTTAATGTTTGTCTGTCTGTTCCTTTTTTTAAGGAACTTTTACTAACTGGATTTAGTACAGATATTTTTATAATATATAATAGCTATATATAATTATACATTAATTTATACAAATTGAGCTTACATATTAAAAACCATGAAATATAAATAATACGTATTTGTTCCTCAGTATTATATACGCAGATGACACCGTTAGCAGAGGATAATACAAAAATAATTTCATTTTAATCCTAAGAATAATAGCATGACTGTTATAAAACAGTCATCTGAAAACTTCCGCACTGAAATAACTGTACTTTCGAATTCATTGAAACTTTCGCACTAAAATTAGCGAGAACTTGAAAATGTTAACAATATCCCAAATTGAGATGAATTGAGCGAGAATTTTCTGAGTTAAATTATATGCATATTCCAATACTTTGTCGTAGTATTATTACTAATGATATCAGATTTATAGTAACAGAAAAATTAAAATAACCCGTAAATATTTTGCTGTAGGTACCTACTATCTTACACGTGTCTGTCTTGTGTAGACGAAATATAAGTACACCAGATATTATATGGCGCACAAGTGTACACGTAGACACTCTCTATTCCTGTCACTCTCCCACCGGATTTTCCACCTTCTCACCGAATTCGACCAAACGTGCGTTCACCTCATCGCCGTGGGGGGCTCAGTGGTGCCCGGCAATCCAGATTCCAGCCGGGCGTGAAGCTAAGAAACGCACAGAGAGGTGGCCCACTTTGGTGGGTGTTGGGAGATGGCCCACTTCGGTGGGCGGTGTACCATGTGGCTTGCTCCTGGTACTTCTCTGATAGCAGAGTGGACTGTGGAGCAACCCCATGGTTGTTTTGGTCTGCTTCGGCAGACTTTCCGTCGGAGCGTCGTAGTTGAGTGCGTAAGCGATCCTGCGACGCCCCATTAAGACAGGGGAAGGTTTTGTTGGGTTTTAGTGGGTAGTACTGGCTTTTTTTAGCCGGTGAGCCCCACATAACCACCTGTATGTCTACAGGTGGTATGCGTAAATGCATTTTCCAACATTAAAAAATTGACAATTCGGTACGACCAATGAGATATAAGGCGTAGGATCGACGTCATCTCCGAGGCACGGGGGTGAAACACCACCAGCTTAAGTTTAGATTTTTTTTTTGGACAAAAAAAAGACGTATATATATATATTCTAACAATTTGAAAATTTTATAAAATAAAAACTTATTTTTACTACCGTTTATACAGATAATGCTAGCGAAGGAAACTTTTGGCAAATTTACAAGGCTATAGATAAAATTTATTTTGAAGTCACATCACGTGCTACTACACGGAAGTAGAACTAGAAGTTATGCAGAAGCTAACATGACACTAACCAAAAGGAAATCCATTATACATTGTCGGAATGCTAAACGTCTTAAGATAACTAACTAAATAGATGTGAATTTTATCCATAAAAAAACGTGTAAAATTATATTTTCTTATATTTTCGCCATTAATATTCTATTAAATATGTAATTTTTATAAGGCATATTTTGATTTTTAAGGACAAAAATTGTATTAATTTTATTTTTACGTATCATAATAATGTACGCAAATTTTTCAAAGCAATTATTTATATTTTCAATTCATAAAGTAAACACTATTTTCATTTTCCGCGTGCATCATAAATTCAGTCTGATTTATAGGGTGCCTCGCCACAGACAAATGATGGTCATTCATGTACAGACTAAATCAGGTGTACTTAAAAAACGGGCCGTAACACAAATTATGATTAAAAAAATATATAACACGTTTAATAAAGTAATATATAATACGCTGTTTTATTCCTGAGAATAAATAATAAATGTTTAAAATAGTTACTTAAATTTTTATTAAATACATTAATTATTGATTAATCTCCTCAATTAAATTATTAAAAATAAAAAACAGATTTAATAATCTAAATAAGTTAAAGTATTTCAATATAATTATATAATGTACGAGACATATTTCTGTAGACAAGAATCGCATTTAAAAAATATAATCTTATTAAAAAAAAGCTAAAAGTTCCGTAATATTAAAATACTTGAGAACTTGACACCTCCTGGATAAAATTCTGGGTGCATTATGAGCGTTTATGGTCCAAAATCCGGAAATTGTCTGTTGTTTGAGTTCATTTTAACATTTTTGTGTTAACTTTAGAGCTTTTATCTTATACTAGCTCAAATCTAAAACTTAAAGTGCGCTAAGCGGAAGTAGAAGTATTATGAATTTTAAAACGTGTTTATTCTCCTTCTCTCATGAGTTGATAGAGAAATTATAGATCGATTAAATTCTTGCATAGACATAAGTAGTATGTAATATGTACATATATACATTATACATATTACGTATTTGCACTACGTAGGATCCGTTGGATAAGAGATTAAGGCTAAACCTAGGAATACGTCTATCAATTCATAATTAATAATAATAAAAATGGCCTTTTGACCGGTATTTGCCACGAAAATTAATCTTAGTGAGTCAACCACACAGTTGATATAAGCATAGCGTACAAATATGTGCGCAAGCAAAAATGCATTTTGTATTCCTTTTACTTTCAAAGTGCAGGTGGCTCTCCGAGGCCTAGAATTGTTACTGCCAACGTCTCAACTTCGGGCTGTTACTGAGAATTCCTTTATAGATTCCAATAAGTGTACTTAGCCTATTCGGAGACTCGAATCTATAACCTCCGCTCTGCCGATCTGCAGGTACATTTGCTAGCTACTAGACCAACAAGGCAGTTCAGCAGTTCATACTAAACACATTATGTTTATAGGAATAGCGTCATAAATATCATCGTCTTGGCTGTTAGAATATTATGTAACAGCTTTTCTTCGACACGCGGAGATCAAGTCATAGACCAGGCATGGTTGCAGTGATACTCTAAAGCCACTACAACGAAGTAAAAAAATAAAAAGCAGATATTCTGTAATTACATAGTTGATACTGTGCACACAGAATATTAGAGAATATTTTAGAATCTTATTTTAATATTAATATAAAAATACATTAATACCATAACAACACTGAACATAAGAGCATTCATTGCTAATGGAATAAATTTAAGAAGAAATCCTTTGATAAGCATGTGTCTGGTTTGATTGTCAGGCTAGTTTAGTAGTTGTATTAAATGCACAAAAATAAGGAACCGCATTCAGTAGCCGGTTTTAAAAATTTAAACGTTGAAACCTAAACCTTACGTATTTTTCAATCTCATTGGTTTAAAATTTAGTTGATCCCTAGTCATCAAAAGTTCCCTTTACGTAAATTTTATATTTTGAATAGCTATTAAAATAACACCTAAGAAAAGTTTGACCAATATTCGAATCTAAATGGACCTTATCATTCATTTTAACATCAAAAATATAAAAACTTTTTAACAAAAAAATAAAAACCGACTTCAAACAAAAGCACTAAAAAGTAAACATTGTGATTGTGAAGTGATTGGTAATTTTCATTTACTATACATACCTAATGAAATATTTTCGAAGTCGGTGTGCTTTGCTTTGTATCGGCTGGCACCGACTTCGACCATTCTTCAAATCAAATATTTTCGTTATTACCATATTGATTTTTTTGGTTATCTAGCCAAATGCGTAAAGAAGAATAAGAAAGAAAGAACTTAGAATAGTTAACAATGTTTTATCATAGGATTGTCTTATTCTTTTATATTATAGACATTAAAAAAATCCAGTAAATAATAGCAACGTCTGTACAAAGAAAGTCGTCCCACTCAATGTCGGGAAGGATAAAGTTACCGGTTATTTATAAGGATCTGTTAAAGCAAAAGATCAACAACTGGAAAATAATGTTCTGTTCATTAATTAAACTTTTGATTGTGCGAAAATATTTTTATAAATGATTTATATGTTACATTCCCCTTATTTATAACTCTACTAGCAGTACCCGCGGCTTCACCCGCGCGCAATCTTCCGATCTTATATACATAATATCTTAAAATATTTAATGTACAGGTTTGACTCAGTTAGAATTTTATTAGATGTATAGATAACGAATGTATTTAAAATAGAATCTAACCAGGAAAATACCGATTTAAACGAACCTTACTCTGATTCCAAATCGTTGCCATTTTAAAAACAAACAATGCATTCCAAATGGAAAACAAGGCAATGTCGGCCTGAGATTGACAGTGACTTATTTTGTTTAGGTGTTTGTTTATAATAAAAATACACCGTATTCGTCTTACATAAGGTATAATTTCCTATGGTAAAATATTTAAATGTTTTGTCAAGTTAACGA